GAGACTGTGTTCGTCAGACCTCTAACCATTGACCAACCTGGTATGAGAGACTCTGTGAGTGTCGCGCGGACACCCCCCAGTATAGCTCAGTGGGTCGCGGAGGTACACAACCGCCACACCACGGTAAGGTTCAGTCTCTTCGTGACGTCTGTAGCACCCTTTCGATGCTTAACTGCCATGCCATCAGAATGTGGCACAAGGGCTGGGATACTGCCAGGTTGCCCAAGCCTAGACGGAATTTCGAGAGGCAGAAGTCGGCTTCGAATCGCCAAGAGACCCGATCTGCCGGCCAGTCACCTGCGGCTTAGGCTTCTTGGCGGTAGCAGCTCCTAACTGCGAGTGGTGAAGCGGTTTTGGAGCATGGTAGCATCTCAAAACTTGTGCATCATTTAAGTGGCTTGGCAGCTATGCACCGTAAACTGAACAACTATTGCTTCTACTTATTTCACGTCCTCGAAAAACACCATAGCTTCCGCACTGGTCGGAGCACAACGGATCTGCTATTTGGTGCATGGTAACTCAAAGAAAGGTCCTGCAAATACCTCTAGTCTCGACATTTCACAAATTTCAAAATGACTTCGCTCAACTAAAATGTACTGTGATGAGTTCAAGGCAGGTTTGATTGCCCGTCAACACTTGAGTCTCATCCGGTACCTACGATATGAGATAAAAGCTTTGTATCGGCTTCAGATGGTTTCGAAGTCATCACGAGCGCTTTTCAGCCATTAGCACGTGCTGCTGTCGGGTTGATTTACCACCGGCTAAGAGAAAGGATCAGAAGGTTGAATTGATCAAAGTCTGGTTATGGAGAGCCCAAAATTGGGTGGAATTCTCTCCCGCAAGCTGTTTCGTTTTCCCATACGAGCCTGACCTAAATTATCATCTGGTCTTCGAGTTCGGACCTCAGTACTGCAACGGTTCTGCGGTTACAGTGGCTAGAACTCAGTTCCTCAAGGTTTAACCTTGCCAAGAAGGTTAAGGATGAAGAACAGCTAAACCCCTTGCTTCACAAAATCGTGTCATGAGGTGGTCTGGAGGTAGAGTTGTACCGTCTTACATTAGGAACGTGATGATTATGAGATATTTCCTTCAGGCGACCAGCATGTCCATATTTATCGCATCAGCCTTGTTGAACCAACTGAACGTGGTATCGCATCTGACGGTTTGCCTGTGTCTCATGATATCCCATTTTTCGGTGGCTAGAACCAGCGCACCTGGTTTATCGCCGATGAACTTCTTTGTCTAAGTGTTTGAGCCTACAGGTTTTCTACTGCTGGTAATATGCGCTCCAGTAATGGGTTATGCCAAATGTTTGTTGGTGATAGTCACGGAAGGATCTCACGCGGAATTTCGTTAACAAAAGTGTAATCCAAGAGTGCTTGAGTGAGAAACATTTCTTCGAACTGTTATGCTTAAGGATTCGGTGATGTGCGTTGTCATTTATAGACACATGGATCTCTCCGAGTTCTATTGTCATTGACACATCACAGTTTTGTTTTTTCTGTCAACCGGACGTCAACCGACTGTTTGACTCCCCTGGCAATCAACAGGTTGAACGGCGAGTGATGCAGCTGCTGCAGCGGGATTCGTTTCAGCGTGCCGACGATATCACTCTTGTTTTGCAAGTTATGGTACAAGAGTGTCTTACCAGATACACCCGCATGGAGTTGCTTAAACGGCTAGCGGCTACGCATTCAGTCGCTTGCTTGAAGCTTTTTCGCCAGTACAATGGACTGGACATGTTGGCAGCATTCATGTGTGATTCACATGTGGACGATTGGGAGTTGAAACGACAAGTAAGTAATCATAAATGTCAGTAGAAAGTTTATGGTCCTCATTTACACAAAGATGTGTGTGCCATGAATTCCCTGTTTCTATTTTTGTGTAGATTCTTCTTTGCCTCGATCACATACCGGTGTCTGAACAAAAGCAAGTACAGTCCAACTCCCGTCTGATGGATATTGTTGCTCAGTGGGCGGTTGATCCACATTATTGTCGTCGTCGTTGCACTTCACCTGGAGACGCGCAAACTCCACATAATGACTCCAACATGACGGGCAATGGACGGAATGGTGATAATGCTGAACACAATATCCTTTCAGGAGGTAGTCGTCATCTGGTCGTCGAAATGGAAGGGATTGGTTTCCCAGCACCAGCCACTCCAGTCGGAAACGTAACGATGTCACAACAAGTTGGAGGTATTCCTACTAGATAAGACGAGATTTCCTTTGTTCGTCTTTGCTAGTCAATTTTCATGTGAACGTTTTAAAGGGATTTTGAAGGACCTACCCACGCGAATACATGCCGGAAATGTGGGCTGGGTCGGTTGAACATTTTGCACCGCACCTGACATGGTTATCACTGACAGCAGTACCAGTGTGTGGACGCTCATTCTCAACTGTCGTAAAATAATGTTCATTTAGATGAAGCCATGTGATAAAGGTAGGAACAAATGATGAACGGGTTACATATATCCCATGTTCTTTCTTCCCATGTTTTCAGAGAAAATCCAGTCAGCACAAGTGCCGTATTTTGCATATTTTGCAACGTCCTTACGGGGAGGATTCCATGAATATCCTCGAAGACAGGCGTTGTCAATGGCACCCAGACTTCATATTTCTTCTTTTGGGTCACCCCACAATACTCGCATCCAATGTAGTGTGGTTGACGAATTCCTTTTGTTTTATCCTACCTCCAATACACATCACATCATGGTGCAAACTAAAATGAAAGGTTGTTAGTGCAGTGTATAGCCTTCGATTGTTGGGTCACATAGGGGATCTGTGGCTTGGATGACAACAATTCTTCTTCGGCTGTTCATCACCGTTCTTATTACCGAGTAGTCCCAGCGATAAAATTGCTGGAGCATCCATTTTTCCTCTTATCCTCACCAATCGTGTTTGGTATGGAATCATCTTCAGTTGTCGTAAAGATACTGGACCTTATCGTGGCGCAGTGGATTGAGCACCTCAACCAACCAATGAGCCACGGTGGGGGATACGACATCTACAGAGTACCTCACCAGGTTAGGCATGGTATGGGGTTCGAACAAATAAAGACCGAATTTTTGGGTAGAACAAGTTTGAAGTCTTGCTTAAAAAATTGGTCGCTCTGACGGTATTACCCTGACTGTGGCTCCATTGAGGTCAGAATTTCAAGCCGAGGACTTGTGGAACCTTAATTGTCCTCTCTAGGTGTCGGAGCCCTGACTGTATCTGAGTACTTGAAACACAGACAAAAGGAACGCTATCGCATACCGCAGGGCGTGTAAGCGAAAACGACATTGCTGGCACTTCACATCTTCATTATTATCTCCTAACTGCTACTCTGCCTCAATTGATAATCACTTCCTTAGATGCGGCTTTAGGCACGTCATCCAAGGAAGTGGCCCATTGGAGACCATTGATAATCAGATACCATCCTCGTTTTTATCAAAGACCTTAACGTTCGTACTCTTAATCAAACCGGTCAGTGCGCTTCTATTGCGTGCATTCTCTATACTCGGTCGGTGCACCTGTATTGCATTTCTGAAACCCAAGTTTTCATCAGCTTCGCTACATGGATGTCATAAAACGTGATTCTCCAAATACTGCAACTGATTAGTATAGCTCACAGTTCCCCGGCCGAGGACCCTTTGCTTGATTGAATACGTGTGAATAGTCGCCTGTGCACCGTGACTAATTGCACCGGTCGCATTGGTAACCGCCCTTTATGGTTTCCTCTAATGCCTCAATTGACTGTAGCTCTGAACCTATACCAGATACTGTTTGACGAGAAATAACCACCCTCTTATCGTCAAACTTCATCGGTGCACTCGGCCAGCACTTACTG